CTATGCTGGTAGTGGCGCGACGCAGAAGCTACAGCCTCACCCTCTACATCATCCTTATTACCATCCTCCTCATGTGCGCCTCTCTCTTATTCATTGTGCTCAACGTGCCCGCCTACTCACCTCTTGGTACGTCGTTTTTATGGCTACTGTTGCCCTGCTATCGCTGAAGAGAGTAGAGTATTGCTACCTCCAAACTCTTTCATGCAAAATTGATTTTTGCATAAAATGGAGATATGGAGGACTACCGGTAGATTTGTGGGCATAGTTCAGCTGACTTACGACGATAGGGTACAGATCGTGTGGTTGCAAATATAACAAAACACAGCATTCAAGGCAAAGTAAATGGAACCCAAATAGATCATAAATACGGAAACTGAAATTTATCCATCAGTAACTCGTGCTGATGGAATGAGATGCTAATATTGTTAGTGTGGTAGTTGAATCCAACCGGCTTTTAAGGGGAAAGTTGCTAAGCAGAAGCCACGAAGTGGTTGGAGTCCAAATCAAGGCTATGTTCAAAGTGAAAGGCAATGACTTAAGTGAGGCGGTGTCCTTGCATAAAAAACGTCACCATCTACCCCGTTGCATTTTGGAGGCATAAATGGATGTAATATCACCTTACCTAATGGCGGTCTGGAGAGAGCATCAGCAGTGACTGAGTGTTGATTTCTGTGCACAACTTGTGGCTCTATTACAGGTAGTGTGAACAGCCTTTACAAATTACTGGTGTGCTACAACAAGTCAGTCTATGGAATAAGAGACTCCAAGATTGGCGGATTCGACGTCGAAATAGTGAGCGATAATCTTGCTAACTTTATCCGTAAGTTTACTCATTTGGATTACCCGTTGATCGCCATTGTGTGCTAGATGTGGCGTTTACTATCCACCTGTAAGTAAGTCATGACGGTAACTGACCTTATTACCCCTTTGAAGATCGCTTGGTGCGAGTGCTGTTTGATCAGACCCTATGGGAGACTTCAATTAATTTGCCGCCAAACCATGGGGTGCTTGGTCTTCTTTTGGCCAGCATCATGGCCTTTTGCATTCCTTTTGCGCTTGGTGTCGTCTGTGGTTTGGGTTTTCGAGCATTGGAGTCAGCATTCTCCAATGCAGCTCTACTTAATGAGACGCAAAAGGCATCTGGTAGGTGTTCACTCCCTCCGGTTCATCAACCTCGATTTCCTATTTTTAAGACAACCTGCAAAACATCTTAAATTTGCAAATGAGTACTTTATCAAGACGTTGGTCACGCAATAAATTCACTTCAAAAATAAAAAAACTTAGTTAACAGACCAAATAATACTGCACGTGATAGCAATACTGCAAAGTGTGAAAATACTTGTTTTGGCAATCAAAGACAAAAATGGCAATAGCGGAGTATTTACACTATCATTTTAGAAAGTAGAAAGCTTCACCTTTTTGACTTTATACTTTAGGGGTTGATTTTAAATCGCCTCTTAGCCAAATGGTTTTATTCAAAAACTACTTTGGGATTAATTTATTGATTCCTCTACTTATATCTTATTTTACTCATTTGCTTTTTGCTAAACGGCTAGCTACCATTCATGGCTAGTGCAGAAACAAAGGTAAAACCGTCCCGTCATGCAGTCCTTACTTATTCTTATACATGAGTTTGTTGGTAAGCAGAGGAACACTTTACCAAGAAATTGAGTTTATTTAATTTGAACGAGCATTTATTCTGATTTAAGACGATGAACTTCATTGACGACATGCATTCCGTGCGATTTGTTCCAATTGATAATTCAATTGCGTGGCTGGCTGTTTAGATGCTGATCCCTTGCTACCGTGATCATTGGCAATCTGCTGCTTTAGTCTCATGTGACAATTCACCCTTACTTTAAATTCAACATCACACTCATGGTGAGGGTAAATTCTAAAAGAAGACAGCGGACTTATTCCCTGCATTAGTAAACAGGAGGTGATTGAAATATTGCTGCGATGTAGAAACATGCAGCTGTCAGAACAGCAACCAGTTTGATCCTAATTTATTGTACTGACTAAGTGGCAGAACCGCGTTGCAGCACTCATAACGATATTTTCCTTCTAGGTCTTGTTATATTTGCAATTCCGATCCACCTGCTGAACAAAACCGGCATCCGCATCATTTTTATTGTGATTCTCCTACTCCTCGTGACCTCGTGCATGTTCAGCATTGCCGGCGCTTCATCAATCCTGTACCACGATGTCCTCATGACGTACATTCGAGTGAGTACAGTCCAAATTAATTTTGTGATACACCCACCTTCACCCTCCCTTTCAGGCACTTTTGTCGATGTAATCGCTGAGCATAGCTAAACAGACCAAGAGTCTCCCGGATTCGGTATTCGTAATAACTGCAAAACTAACCTCGTTTTCCATCCTAACTCTAATGCCAATTGACACACCTCCACTACGCTGAAGATTACGCCTAGATATTAACTATGTCTTTGTGCAAACCACAAGGAAGTCTGAGCAATTTCCTGATAATTTGTTGCGAATTATTACCCTCCATTTCAGCAACCTGCAACTTGAATGTGAATAAGATTTGGATGCTTAAATGTTGTGCGTGAAATGCTTAAACACACAGATTGGCTATTCCCTCTTCAGCCCTTCAAGAGGCAGGTAGACAGGGCAACGTGTCTACTCTGTGGCAAGCGACGTGGTCATCTTGCAAGTCGACGCAACATCTGCCGCTGTCGCAGCATGCTCGAATGTGCGGCATGTCATACTGACACCTGGTACGGCTGCACACGACAGTTGGGAAATAATGTCTAAGTAACCTAGCTATTATCATGGAACCGAAATGTTAGTCTACTGTTTCATTAACCACTGTATGTTTGGCGATATGGACAAAACACTGCAGCCAGGAGTTATGGTGTCTGTATGCATGCATGTCTCCCTGATTTAGCCGCACTTCTAGTGCCAAAAGCTTGCATTTGACAGTAAATCAGATGAGATGAATGTCTGCAACCTTGTAAAATAATATAGCCTTCAGGGTCACGGAAGATGCAGCTTATGTGTCTTGATAAACCAAAACATTGCATGATTTTTAACCAGTAGACACGATTTTCCTGTACATCCCATTGCATATTGGTCCATTCGTTTTTAATCTAACTGAGTTAATTCATCCAGAGGGAAGAGAGGGAAGTTTAGAAGGAAAATCTCATGGAAAGTACTACAATCCCATGAGAATGCATGTGTTTGCATTATGTCATAGATGATGATCACACCTGCCGAGACCAAAGTTGCATGTACGCTTTACTGTCGACATCGCACACCCTATATTTGGGCTTGACATTATTAATAAGCAGTTTTCGCGTGACAGGAAAGCATTCCCTCTCTCACGCTGTTGTTCTGTCAGGATCAAGGAGGAATGCAGCAACAGACCAGCCACGACGCTGGTGTACGGCTGCCAAACACATGGTGCGTACCGCGCCTACACGGACGAGATGTCAAAGAGAGTGCTGCACATTTCCTTCACTGTGTTGGCGGGAACAATACCAATCTTCATTATCTTTTCTGAAATGGCCGTACGTCCCTACCTCCATTTGCTCAGGGTCATGTGGTTCTGGCAATAGATGTGACGTTACCCAACCGATGCAGCACAACGTCCCTGCATTTCATTGGGTGGTATAATAGACGAATATTTGCTTCCCACTCTCCACTTTAAAGAGTAGAATGAGGCCACCGAATTAGTGCATGAAAAGGACAATGTATTACGACAGACGGATATGAAAAAGGGCAGACAGATAAGCAGACAGAGAGATGTGGCGAAGGGCGAACATAGACGAGAGGAATTTGCGAGGTGTGCCTTATATAAATGCACCTAGTGAGAGGTACTGAGAGGACATTTGAGAGGTTCACATTTAAGATTGTCTCCGCATCAGTAAAATTTTGACCATGGTTAAGGCTTGGTGTAAGTAACTGAGCTAGGTTGGTAGTACACACCTCGTCCTCCAAAATCCTATTCCATTCAGGACTCTGGACTCATCCAAAGTTGTTTTTACCTGTCATATAAATAAGGGCGCCTATTTTACACCTCAAAACGAGATGAATTCCACCAAGACAGGGATAGTTTTGGTATGGATAAGTGACTGTGACCTCAACTAGAATGGAAGTGA